AGGTCATGTAAATCCTGCGTGTCTAGGGGGTGATTGTAAATGGGGTCGTGTGCGCCTCCGAGGTTCGATTGACGATAGATCTGCTGATCGAGGGATGTCATCTGCGCGGAAATATCTATCCATGTCTGATGCGTCGAACTCCGAAGGGGGTTGTAATAAGTCTGCAGGGGTCGGCGGAGCTGGTGTGGGTGCTGACTGTGGTAATGCCTTCCCTCCTATGCGATATATACGTTTGCGCTTCGCCTTCACGGGTTGCCTATCCATTCCAGCTAGCGCACCCGGATCTCGTGGGGGAACGCTGCGAACAGTGAAATGAGAGAGTGATCGAGTATATGGCGAGAGTGTGTGATTGGAGTGGCTGAGTGTCGACAACTGGTGTATTGAGTTGTTAAGCGAAGGGCGTAAAACGATTTGTGGGTCAGGTTCTGGCATCTCATGCCCATTTTGGGGCGAGCCTAATGCAAAAGGGTCATGCACCGATGTAGAGGCAGACAGGGTCGCGCTGTTAGCGCGTGGACGTCGAATGTATATCCCATGACTATCGCTGTCATCGGAAGAGCGTAAAGGAGATGGCGAAGTAGGAGCGGAAAACTTTAATCCACTGTTGGAACGGGAGGGTGGTTGTGTTCTCGCACCATCGGGTGATGTTGGGCCTAGATGGGGCGGCAGGGTAGATGCAGTGGGCACCTCGAACATGGATCGTGGACGAACTAGATGTGGACGGGAGAGCGATTCCATTACACTCGTTGCAGGTACCGATGATTCCATTCGCCCTCTCAAATCGAAAGGCTGTCCGAGCCCGTTAGAATGAGGACTCGGTTTCACCGGGAATCGTAAACCCTCAAGAGGAGATTGAATCATGGATTGGGAGTGGTATACCCTGGGTCTCGTGATCGTCCCTCCCCCAACAGCAGGAATGGTCTCGAATTCTTCCCGTTGGCCAGCAGAAGAAACAGACGGAGGAGGAGAGGTATCCGGTACGGTATCCTCCCAGTCGACCACATCGAAGGACCCTGACTCCTCATAACTGTATTCCACGTTAGGCTCGTCAGACTCCTCGGCCAGGTCTGCCAGGCCCTTGTTCGGCGAGAAAAGTTGGCCAAACGACGTGAATACACTTTTGGCAGGCAAACCTTCGGGTCGCAAGCCGTAGGTAGGATCGAAGTTTTCTAGGTCGGGGAATGATGATGATGTCGGCGAGGGTTCTTCCGGCACAAGAGGGCCTGGTTTGGACCGTGACTTGTGATTCCCGGCACTGCTCGCGACAGAGACGGAACGCCCAGAGGAAGAAGAGGGACCGCGCCCATAGGACAATGGCCCATGGGACTGTTGGCGAAGCAAGTGAAGATGTAGTCCGACATTGCTGGATATATGGCCCCCGGACAAATCCGGAGCAGACATTGTGTCGAAAGTCTGCCTTGGGGGAAGCGATGTTGAAGGCTTGTTCAGGTATGGAGCTTCGACCTTGGACTTCACCCACTGTTGGCTGAGCCTGTGGATGATTCCTGGCAGGTCCTCCCTGAACATTTGCCGCAATTGCCCTTCAATCTCTTTTTGGATGAACTTCTGGATCACAGCGATAGAATCAAAGCTGCTGTTGATATCCACATTCTGCAAAGGATCGGTTTTGAATACGAGCGTGATGCCCTTCTGCTTCGAGACAACGAGGACGACGTAGGAATTGAGTTTGAAGTGGGATAGGCGCAGGAGCATGGGGACCACAAGAGGCTGCTTAGCGGCCAGCATGCCCCGCGATCCTGACATCAAATGTATGTCTGGTTGCTTATGGTTCAGCGGATTGGCCTACACGCAAGTCCATATGTTAGCACACAATTTCGGCGGGGGCCCGAATACACGGACTCACCTGAACTTTCGTCTTTAGAACAATGTGCGCGTCACCTGCATATGTAAAGCGAAATATCCCTCTGAACTGGTCGACAGTCAAGTCCCCAATGTCCCTGATTTCCAGCTCGGGTGGCTCAGTACCCATCTCGAGCTCTACCACCTCGATCTTGTCGGCTATGACCGGAGGTTTGCTGCCCTTGTTGAGAGCATTGTTGAGCATTTGTATAGCATCGGTATGGAACTGGTCACTGAAGCGAGGCCATTCGAATGAAAAAGACATAAAGTCATGAGAGGAAGAACAGAGGGAAGCAGAGGCACTGGAGAGGTGCCGGCCGCTCATGTGTGACTATTCCGGCTGCATCTGATCTACATTCCACCACCAACCGTTTGCAACTCCAGCCATGAACGGTGTGCGTCGATTTCTAGGCGGTGGTGGTAGCTCTACACCACCTCTAAACGTACCAGCACCTGTTCAGTTTGTGCCCCCACTCAATATATCTGGGAAGTCTCAGCAACCGCCCTGGGTGGACCAGTCTCCCACACCTCCTCTAGAGAACAGTCCAAAGAACACTACTGCAGCTCTCTTTCTACGAAAACAAAAACTACCTCCTAGACCTGCTTCGCCTTCCAGTGACGATGAACTGCGAAGACCGCAGTCCAATGGTTCAACTCTTGTGTCCCCCACCCGGTCGTCCCCTGTCCGGAAATCCGTCACAAGCTCTCCCGGAGCAGGGCCTTCGACACCTCGAACACCAGGCAAATCGTACGCGTCTATCTCGCAATCAGGGCAACTCAACACAAGGGACGAATTACTCATGAGCTTACTCACGAGTGAAGCGGTGGTAGACAGTCGGGACTTCGAGATACTCAGTAGCGAAGAGATCGAGGTGCTTAAAAAGGTGTGCCCACCTCTACTCATCGCGGACTATAGCTAAACTCTTCAAAGGAGCAACAAGTACTCGCTTCTCGTCTTGGGGCAATGTCCAAGAAACTAAGCTTGGAAACCAAAATTCGTGATGCTGCAGTATCCCTTTCTAAAGTAAATGCTGCCCACAAGCGGGTCTCCAAACAAACAGAAGAGCAGCTTGACACGGCCAACAGGCGCGTAGACTCTGCTCAGCGCGAGGTGTGGAGGATATCAGAGCGTGCCAATGAGGTGAACAAGAAACTACTGGAGCATCGCGCCGGTGTGCTCGGGTACTCAGTGCGAGATCTCGAGAAAAAGTTTGCACCATCCTCCATGGGAGACGAATCGGGATTCAGCACTCCTAGCAGAAGCACGCAGATGAGCCCCACACCATCGAGTGTGACAAGTGCATCATCACCTTCATCCAAAGCACGATTTGACGGAGCGCATTTATTTGCCGGTCACGCGGATGCCTTGATTCCCAAATCGTCACGGGGCTCGTTGTCTCCAGCAGACGTTGCAGCGATGGAGGAGAGACTGAGATCTGCGACGGAGACTTTGTCTGCTACAACAAAGCAGCAGGCGGAGATGTCACGAGAGATCACCCACCTACGGCTGGAGAATGATCAAATCCAAACGACTATGGGAATGGAGTTGCAAAGTGCAGAGGAGACCATTTTGTCGCTGGAAAGGGAGCTTCCCAAGCTAGAAGCTCTCAATGCTCAAGTAGAGCAATTAAAGCGAGAGAAGCAGGCATGGGTCAGAGAGCGAGACACGCTTGAGGGGCGATTGGAGGTCTTGGAGGAACAAAGCGGTGACGCAAGCCAACTGCACCATTTGCTGGCAGATGCGCAGGAGAAGGCGCGAAATGAATCTCAGGAGATGAAGTCACAGTGGGATGCTGATAAAGCACGATGGGCGGTGGAGAAAACTCAATGGGAGAAGTCCTCAGCAGGCCGAACCCAGCCCGCGAACAACGACGAACTCAATAAGGCTGTCGGAGCCCTGAGGTCCCTTACATCAACTCACGATATCCCTGTTCCCGCCAATGCCTCTCTGTTAACATTCATCGATGCAGTAGGCATACACCTCGACGGAGTATCCAGTCACCTAGTCACACCGGATGGCACGAAAAAAGACTTTCCCGACGCCAATAAGATCGCAATGGTTCTCCTTCCTGTATGGGCCCAGCTCCCGTCTCCAGAGGCTCGCGCTGCAAAGCTTGGTGGCCCCCGCGCACACACGGCCCGTAGCGGTTCTGGCGGCCCATTCAGTCCTACCGGGTCATTGTCAGACATGGATGTTCGCTCACTCAAAACAATGTATAATCCCCAAACACACCCTACAACCCCCAACTCCGCCGTTTTCTCTGTCGAAGCATTTGCCGGGCGCGTACAAGCACTGATCGCGGATGACCGCTCGCTCATCGAACGATTGCTGCGGTTTGCGCAAGCGCATGATTTACTGAAAAAGAATGCAGAACGAGCACAGAAGCTTGCTATAGACAGTAACAACGCGTTGGAAACCTACCAGAAGCAGGTCAGGACGTTGGACGAGAGGCATGTGGATATGACCGAGAGGCATTCGGCTGTGTAAGTGTATTCTTTGGGCGCCCTTGAAAAGTCGTGCTAATTGCTACTACAGAGAGGATGAAATTCAAGTTCTTCAGGATACCATGGATCGCATCTCGGCAGAGAAATATGAGATCGAAATGCATGCGGCGGCTCAAGCAGATCAATTGCGACAGCTCACTGAGGCAAATAACAGTCTCAGCGCGCGCACGCTCTTGCTAGCAGATGAAGCTGCTTCTGCTCCAGAGAAAGTCCGCCGGGAGCTGATGGCCCAGCTGACACAATGTCGAGCGTCTTTGAAAGAATCCCAAGAAGACCTTGATGCCATGCGTCGGTCTGAACAAACACAAATGCAGGCGTTGCTAGACGAGCTCAACACTATGCAAACGGAAAATGGCAATCTTCGTGCGCAACTGCGGGCAGTAAAGAAGTGATACGGCTTGTTCTCCCTCTCACCATCAATCTGCACAACGGTTATTACGCATATGTAGCCATTAGCATTCATTATTAGCATTCTCTATACCACATCAGACCATTCTACCTTATACCACTCATCAATATATAATACCATCGCTTTTCACCATGCAAACCGAGCGCTCTTGTGTCCACAGTCGAATTATAACGGACACCCAAACACAAGAAAAAATAGTTGACAGCCGTTAGAAGCAACAAAAATAAACCCCCGGCGGGACTCGAACCCGCAACCTCCAGATGAAACGGTACTAGATCACACTCGTGAAGTAGAAGTCTGACGTCATAGCCATTAGACAACGGGGGCGTTATGGCCTCAATCCCTTACCTTCAACCACATCGTGAGTGCAGCATCGATCGCTTGGACATGGCCATGGTGGTGTTCAGAACTCAAGTCATAATATTAACTCAACACCTCCGCAGGAAACTATCCCAATCATGGTCCGTTCAGCTGTTGGAGCGCACCATGACTGAATTAAATAGTATTGCATGCATTTCCATAACATGTCAAATGTAACATTCGCTCTAGTGCTGTCGTACTGCTCAGTGGTAACAGCGAGTACTAATTTGTTTATTTTTTGGATGTTATAAATAGTAATACAAGGGTCGGCAAACAAGATCGCGATAGTAATTATCTACGTACATGTAGAACATGGTGGCGTTGGCTGGCATAAGTAACACAGCCAATTATCTGCTTGCGGAGACTTCTCGGCGATCCTTGTCAGATAATTAAGTATTAGCGGGATGCGGCATTACGCGCGTTGTCACGGTTCATGCGCGTTGACTCCGTTTTGCATGTGGACATCCGGCACAGGGGGTGGTGAACCAGTGCGAGATGAATCAACGTCATCTTCGTCATCGAAATTCTTCGCTTTCAACGCATCCTTAGCCAATGGCTGTACACCGAGGAAGTCCATGAGATAATTGAATTAGAATCAAATACTGTGAGACATACCTCTAACTTGTAATGCATGTTTCTGAGTCGCAGGAAAGCCTCGTGTTTTGCAGTAGCTGGAGAGAGCTCAGGATTTGAAAACACGTGGATTGTAAACAGCGAATACCTTCGGCATCCAGTTCGTCGTCGCTTTCGACTTCCCCTCCCAGGTCCCGTCCGTCCTTTGGTATTTTGCTCTTGATCCCATCCGGAACGCTGAAGCTTGTACTCCGGCTAGACTTCCCACTGCCAGAGCCCCCTGAAAGGGACCCAGATGGTCGGCCGGCGCTAGACAAAGATGTGCGACGGGATGAAGGGGCAGAGTTGTCATCCAGAGCCGATGTCCCAGGAGGTGAGGCATTGAAGCCCCCTAGATCGAAGTTGGGAATGTCTGTTGAAGAAGTAATGAGTAAGATGTTGTATGGCGTGCGTAAGATAGAGACTTGCCGCCTTCAACCTCGTCTGTCTCTGCGTTGTATCTGACGTAGGGGGTCTTAGGCTCCGTTATCTTCATCAGGCTGTCTTTCTGGATCTCAGTCAAAGCCAGATTTGCTTCATCCCATTGGAGGCTGCTGTTGGCGCGAATACAGATCTCAGCTTTCCGAGCACATCGCTGAAGAGTGGGCTTGAAACTAACTATTGGTGTCCGGTTGGCGGTGCATTCTTCAAGATACCCTTAGGCTTCGGCTGCGAAGACGATCGACGCAGAGGTGGAAGATGCTCAGGATCTTGGATAATTTCGGTGGACATTGTGAGGTGATGTGAAAGAGGTGAAAGTTGAAGGAAAAGAAAGGCACTAGCTTGCGCCAAGTAGCATCCGTCCGGGGTCTCCATGTTCCTCATTAGGTGCTTCGCCGGTGGTTAATGCTGCCGCCATGCCCATATAACCTCCAATCTTTCCATGAGATTGTATTTGTAAGTCCGTATGTATACATTTAGGAGTTATAGTTCTGAGTTGCTACAAGCGCAGTTCTGCCGACTCGATCACATCCCAAGTCCCATCAAAGCCCCGACCAAACGCTGTGCGGCGTTGTCCGGTTCCTGCCTCGCCATTTCCACAATACTGAGCAATTTCTTGACACCGATGTGTAGGCCATTCGCGCCGACTTCTTGAGATGTTTGTGGAAAGCCAACTTCTCTAAGCATCTGAACGCAGGCATTGCGTTCTTCGCTGGAGTTAAAGAGGGAAACCTCACGCAAGACATATTCAAGCGAGTCGAGACTGGAAATGGGCGGCACACGTAGCTCAGAATCAAACGCTTCTGAGAGCCCAACTTCCGATAGAACGGGCCGGAGGGACGAAGTAGCGATGACCAGCAGACGGCGACCCTTTATCGATGGGAAATCAGTGATAACGTCCGGCACAAGATCTCATCCGCTAACCTTAGGTGGTCGCCGAGCGAGCAATACCAGCAACGTTTGTAAGACAGCATTCGAGAATCTGGATCCCAATGGCGCCCATTCTGATCAAAACTGTCAACTTGCGTCATTTCAGGGAGTATGCCATGCGCACCTAATAACCGCTCGATATTATCAACGACGATGACGCTCAATGGACTCTTATAACTGTCAGAGAAGACTTTGCTGATAGCCGCAACCTTTTGGTTCTCGTTGAATCCCACCATGCTCTCGGGAGAGATGAGCTTGATGAAGGGATACTGCGACTGTTGTGCGATTGTTGCGCCTAATGCGGTCTTTCCTGAGCCAGGAGGCCCGTGCAGGAGAATGCTGACGAGTGGTGTGCGCGTGGATGTCCGTACCTGGTCTGTGAACAGTTTGCCGCTGCGCAGAAGTTCCTAATAATTGATGTCAGAATTTGGAATATGGAAATAAACCACGTGAACGTACGTCGACGACGACATCGAAGTGAATAATGCCGTTCTGGATAACTTGTTGCAATTCCTCTTCGGATACACCGAATGCGGGATGCACTTCGTTCAGCGCGTCCATGAAATCTGCTCGGTTCACGCGCAAGTTCTCAACATCATCCGAAATTCCCGCCATGGTACCAACCTGTTCAACGTGCGTCAGTTGAAATCATTTGCCGCGCAGGTCTTTCATACCTTCACGTGACGGTTGAAAGCAAAACTTGTTGCGCTCTTGATGAGACCGCCAATCTCAGCACCCGAAAAGTTCTTGGTGGTAGCAGCGAGCTCTTCGAGATCCACGTCATCATCCATGACTCCATTCACCCGCATCTTCATAGTGTGGATATTCAAAATCTGGTAACGACCTTGTTCATCGGGCAACGATATCTCCATGTGTACTTCTAGACGCCCTGGACGGAGAAGGGCCTCGTCAATCATATCCAGGCGATTTGTCATTCCAATGATAAGAATGTTGTTGAGCTGATCCACACCGTCCATCTACCCACCATCGTTTAGTAGATATAAATCCGTCGTTGGATAGAAAGCTTACTTTGGAGAGGAGCTGATTAACAACGCTGTCGCCAACACCTGTCCCTCCACCTGAGGTTCCTCGTGATTTGAAAATAGCATCGAGCTCATCGAAAATGATGATGTGTAGTCCACTTTCATCGCCTTTCTCTTTGTACTACCGCGGTGATATTAATTGTTCGCACTTTGCGAAGCCCGAGAGAAATTACGAACCTCTTTCTCAGCATCTTCGAAAAGCTTTCGGATATTTTCTTCTGAAGCACCGACATACTTGTTCAATATCTCAGGACCGTTGACAATTTTGGGCTCTCGAGCGTTTAACATCTTTCCAATCTGCCGCGCGAGGAGAGTCTTTCCGGTACCGGGAGGACCGTGAAGCAAAATACCTGGAGACCATTTTAGCATATGCAATAGCAAATGAACATGTGCATACCTTTCACATGCTGGATACCAAGCTTCTCGACTAGTCCTGGGGGGAAGACTCGAGATGCAAACGCTCGACGGAAGATGGAACTGAACTCGGAATCTAAGCCACCGATACCCATATCCTCGAATTTGAAGTTGGGAGCCAGAATGGCATTGGGGGCAGCCCTGAGAACAAGATTAGCATCCCCTCCTTTTACATCGAGAAGTTTTTTTTATTACTTCTTAGCACTGGACTTGATTTTGATAGCACTATCTCCAGCTTTCAAGAATCCTACATCTGTCCTGTCCATCAGGACTCCCATGTTTTCTTGACGCTGCCCGTCCCGTCCACCATGTCTCTGCTCATCGGCAAGCTCTAGTAGAGACAACCCTTTCACGGTTACTTTCAAGTTGTGCCCGTGGAATTCGAAGACAAAGAATTGCCCAGGGGTGAATATGATCCCGTTGAAAGCCTTAAGGAAGTTTTTGGACATTTCGTCCATACTAAAGACTTCTGCTACCTCTATCTTCGGACGCAAGAAGCCAACTTCAACGTCAAGAGACTGGAGGTATGCGGGGGCAGAGGGGTGTGGAGGGGAAGGAAGGGACTCGACGCTGGTCTCATCGCCTACGGCTGAGAGACCTATCCATTGCCGATGCATTGCTGCTGCACCAATTGAGCCGGGCTGGAGCTTGCCGGTATTGTCATGTCTGATCAAAAAAGTTCAATACGAAATGGGAAGGGCTTTGATTGCGAGGCTCACCGGGCGGTGCAAGGGAATCTGTCCTTGACTAGGATGTGCTGCCCTTGCTGAAAGTCCGATGGGTGGACGATGATGCAGTTCGAAAGCGCAAGGGCATCGCTTGTGGCGCCCACTACAGCGTATCTGCTTGCAAAGGTCAGCACTCAGTCATGAACGAATAACTGCTTAGGCACCTCCCGCCTGAAGGGCCAGATCTAGGTGGCGGGGGCCTCCGATCGGGCCTCTTCTCAAATAGGTTGGCCGAGGGATCGTTGTAGGACTGAGGAGGGGTGGGCCTCCCTGCGCCTGCTGGTGGGCCAGCTGGTACTCTAGAATAAGGAGCCTGTGGAGGTTGTCCCTGGTTGCCGCCGCCTCTAAAATAGCTCATATCGCTGGGAAATGTTTAGCAGCTCGTCTAGAGCACGTTTCAATCAATATGTAGCTTTCAGATAGCTGCGGATCAGCGTGTCGTTTTCGCAATCGTAGATTGTTGTCGTGGAGGCTAGGATAGGATTCAGCACCGACACCGCCTAGCACCACGTAATAGGGCCTGCGCGTTTACGGTATCAATAAGTCGGATATCGACTTTCCCTTCGGCACCACCACTCCGCGAACACCCAGCTAGTGGTCATGTCTCTACTGGACTCTGTACCCCCGAATAATGGCACAGATCCTGGGTATCCTGTAGATCAACATTCGTGCGCGCTACTTGGTCCAACAGCCCTGGTAAGCTAACTTTGCCATCATCGGGCGCTAAAACATGGATCGACGATTCTCGCTATAATAGGTCGTTCAGGCATTAATGGGGGTCTTGGTTATACTTTCATTG